AAGTGGCCTGCCTGCGGGCAGCAGGGGTTACAGAGGAAGTGCCCAGCCTGTGGGCGCCAGGAGGTGCAGAGCAGCCAGCTGGGCCGAGGCCCCGACAGCCCCCTTTACCTTGTGGTACAGCATGACTGCCCTGTCCATTTGCTCGCCCTTCTCCTCATAGTACCGGGCTGCTTCAATCATGTCCTCCGGGGAACTGAGCAAGGCCAAGTTCATAAGCTGGTCATCCAGGCCATTCTCCTGCAGGGGTTGGCAGGGCTCTGAACTACTCCTGCCTAGCCCTTCCACTTCTCTGGGGTTTGATGGGTGTCAGCAAACTATGCCATAGTGGCTTAACAAGCATCATGATATGTCCCCAGGGTTCCAAAATGCGTCCTGGGGTCCAGTGAGGACACATCCAGGAGCCTGAGCTGTGGGGAGTGCTGGCCAATGGCACAGAGGAGGGTGTATGGGTGAGGCAGCCTGTGGGCGACCCAGGCCCTGGGGAGGCTGCTGTATGAGCGAGGCAATTTACGGGCAGCTCGGGGCCCCAAGATGCCCCCTGGGGTCCACTGAGACCACACCAGGAGCCACAGGCACATGGGAGGGTCCGCGGGTGAGGGCGGTGTGCGGCCCAGGGCCTCACCTTGCACAGGCGGATGGCGTTGTTGAAGGCCTGGGCCCTCGTGTAGAAGTGCACTGCCTGCCGCACCTCCTCCTGGCTCTCGTACTGGCGGGCCAGGTGATAGGACGCAGCCCAGTTCCCAGTCTCGTTGGCGATCTCCGCGGCCTAGAAGACCCGAGGAGCCTGAGGCCGACGGGCACCCGGGCTGGCCTCGCCTGCAGCGTGCCCCCGGCGGAGCACTCACCTTCTGGATGTGGCCCTGGAAGCAGTGGATGCGCACCAGGGAGAAGGAGTCCTGCGCCAGCTCGTAGTAGTGCAGCGCCGCGTCCATCTCTGCCTGGCTCTCCAGGTACTGGGCCCACCACCGCCACAGAGTCCTGCGGGCAGCCTGGCGGCTCAGGGCCCTGCTCAGCCCCGAGCCCTCCCGCCCCCGCCGAGGGCCAGATGCGACAGCCCCTTCCAGCTGGAGGGTGGGGGCTCCCACCTGTCCTTCATCTTATTGACATAGAGCTCCAGGGCCTGCAAGTCTTCGGAGAGCATCCGGGGCACCTCAAACCGGTGGGTGTCTGACTTCTCGTAGCTACAGGGAAGAGACAGACAGAATCTGGGGCTGGGATCACCATGCAGGCCAACCAGGGTCTGAGCAGCGGCCAGAGGGCGTAGGGGTCCCTGCCAGCAGCTGGGAGGACAGTGGGGGAACTGGCCTGGGATCCAAGCACAGCTACTACTCTTGAAGCCCTCAACCAGAGCACATCGGACCTCACGGAGCCCCCGAACCCACTCTGCTATGGGAGCCTTTGCAAGTAACGGCCACAGTCAGAAGCAGGAGCCAAGGCCACCTCATGCAGCACAGATGGAGGGGCTGCAGGCTGCCGGGGACCCACCTGGGTGGGGCATGATCTGAGGGCCCCATACTCACTAACTGAGGGCCAGACTGCGGTCAGCACTGGCCTCCAGGTGCTTGGCATAGTTGTAGCAGGTGGTGCGCAGGTGGACACGGTCGTGGCGCTCAGCAACCTCTATGGCCTTTTGCCACTGGCCGGAGGCCTGGTAGAACTTGTTGAGGAGGTCGTAGCGCCTGCACTTCTGGTAGAGCTCTTCAGCGTCGTCCTGGTGTGGGAGGGGAACTCAGCACTGCCACAGCTGTTCACACCCACACTGCCAACAGGCTGTCCAGCAGCAAAGCCGACGGTGAGCACACAGCGCGTCACGGGTACCACCCGCACGACAGCACACGCCCGGAGAGGGCACTGCGGGGTGGGCACCGTGTCACACGACCACCCCTGGGAGGTCCTGGGCTCTCCAGCAAATGACAAGGCCCTCCCAATGCTCCTGCCATGACTTGGCCCTGTCCTCAGGCCCGCACCCAGGTGGCAGTAACGAGGAAGCAACTTCAGTGGAGGGCTACAAATCGGGTCTTCTCAGTGCCCCACGTGCCCCTGGTCTCCCTCTGCAGCCACACGGCCCTGAGAACCCCGCCTCGGCCCTCTCTCCCAGGACCGACACCCCAGCTGGCCCAGGGGCAGGAGCCAGCACCTTCCTTGTCTATCTCTCGTTCCGGCCAGAGCGCTCACCAACATCCCTAGCTGTATGGCCAGCATGGCCACTCGGGCCTCCAGCTCTGGCTCCTGCTCGGCTTCCCGGAGTGCGCGGGCCCCACGGGCATGGCCCATGTTCCCCAGGCACACTTTGGCCACATCTAGCCGCTGTGTCTTCACGCACATGCGCGCCATGTTCTCCCAGACGGCCTCACTGCAGGGAGAGAGAGAGTTGGTCAGCCTTGTGTCCACCCTGGGCCGCAGCGATGCCTGTTCCTCAGTCTGTCTGCCTGGCCACTGGGAAGGGGCAGGTAGGAAGGAGGGGCAGCCAGAGTACTGCACTGCTGCCACACGGCACGGTGACATTCCAGGCTTATTGCTCCCAGCGCCCAGGAAGAAAAGCTGCCAGAGCTGAGCTGGGCTGCAGCTGGAGCTTGGGGACTGCCAGGCTGGCCGCATCCCACGGCTTAGCCTACGGGCCATGGGTCACATCATAGCCAGGACCTTGGGCACCAGCTATCAGACCCTGGTGCTGCTTCCTGTTGGGTTCAGGTCCAGCTGCCCTTGGCAATGGCCCCTAACATCGGGCCCACGCAGGACGAGCAGCAGCTGTGGCTGGTGTCAGTTACCCTGTGGGATCCAAACCCCTAGCCAGCCCTGTGAGAAGCTGAAGCCTCACCCCGCACGGAGGGGCCAAGAGGGGTCCCCGGGATCCAGCCAGCTGGGCCAGCTGAGGGTTAGGACCAGATGTCCCTGCCACACCCCCCCCCTTTGCCCAGAGCAGTCTCCCACACTGAAGCTGACACAGGGGCTCCCTCCCGGGAGGCTGTAGGCACCACCACACCCAGGTCCCCCTGCAGCGTCCACGGGAGGCACCGTGCACACCTCAGACCCCTGCGACGGCACAGGGCAGAGCCCAGTGTGCTGGCTTCCTTATCCCTCACACGTGTGCTTGGGAGTGCACATACATGCACCACACATGGGCGTAGGCACCAGAGAGAAACCATGAGGCCTGGGGGATGTGCAGGTGGGGGTGTCTGGGGGAGGACGCCAAGACTTCCAGATGCAGCAGCAGCCCCCCAGGGGGCAGAGCAGCCCTTCCAGGCAGCCAGAGGCACAGCAGGGGGGAGGCTGAGCTAGGAGACAAGCCGGGCCTGCGCTCTGGCGAGTCTGTGGATGGCAGGGCCTGGGGATGTGGCGCTTCGGGGAGGGTGGGAGGAGGCCACAGCCGGACTTGTGGTGGATCTGTCTGCACAAAGCATGTGCTGGAATGCAGCCAGCAAGCTGCAAGCCCCTAACCACAAGGGGGCGCGAGAGCTGCGCTGACCCAGGCTCTGCAGGAGAGGCCTCCACCAACTGCGGCTGTCCTGGCCCTGTCTCCAGGGCCTGAGAAGCACCTCAGCTCCAGTGTGGAGTTCTGGGGCTTGTGCATCCGACACACATTCCAGGAAGCCGGCAGCCTCTCAGCCCTGTGAGGGATCTGAAGGCTTCCTGTCTCCAAGCCGGCCTCACATCTGCACTTCATCAACCCCGAGGTGCCTGGGCCGAGGAGCTGCTCTGCCAAGCCCTGCCCCAGGACCAGCAGGCTCGTGGTCAGACCACGGAGGGCAATAGCAGGAGGGGTCCTTATAGAGTGAGCCCTAGCCTGGCTTCTTGGCCCCTGGTGAGGCTCATGGTGGCCACACAGACGGAGCAGGTCACGGGTCCTCCGAGGTTGGTGTTGAACCCCGGGGAGGGGGTGGGTCCCCGCGCTCACACAAATGCTGCTCTCAGGCCAGCTCCCTGTCCCACCCAGCTGCCCACAGCAGCGAGACTGCGGCTGGGACACAAGGATGGCTGAGACGTAGGGACCTGCAGCCTGGCAGGAGCCTCCAGGAGTGCTGAGGGGAGAGAGACCGAGGCTGGTGCTGAACCAGGACTGCCAGCAGCCCTGTCTTTAGGGGGCCTCCCCTGCGAATCAGCACAGCCAGGAATGACCACCTCTGAGCAAAGCCTGTGCTGTAGGATCTGGAACTGCCAGGCATGAATGGTACAATTAAAACAGGAAACTGATTCTGGCCCCTGGGAACCTCTGGGGAAACTTCCTGCTCCAGGCAGCCCACTGTACCCTGTGCTGGGAGCTGCTGCCACTCCCCATGCCCTGCCCAGAGAAGGGGTCATGGCAGGCCCGGCCCTCTGGACTGGCAGGTGGGCATGTGTGCAGCCCCAGCACGGAAGATTCAGCGGTGGAGAGGCTAGGGTGGGAGGCAGAGCTCAGGCACAGCCGCTGTTTATGCAACGCAAACCCCGGAATGGGGTCAGTCTCAGGGCATCAACAGATCCATGACTGGCTGCAGGCTACCTGGAGTTCCTGTCCCTCAGGGCCCACAGTGTGACACGAAGAGCCATCCGTGAGGCGTGACTCAGAGCACCACGCCCAGGAGTCGGGGTGGGACACGGCCAGCAGGTTCCCCTGCCCATACCATGGGTCTGGGCACACACACAGGAGCATTTCCCTGCTGTACTGCTCTCCCAGGTCCGAAGGGCACAGCAGATGCCCTCCCAAGCTCCCCAGGCTTAACACTGCCCCGAGGCATCTCTGCACTGGCTGGAAACCCTCCTTGCAGCAGCCCTGGGACCCTTGGCCCTCTGTGTCCAGAGTCCTGCTTGTCGCCACCTCAAGGACACCTCTGTCTAAGGCACTTCTCCAAGTGTAGCTCTGCCACCCACCCCCTCTGCCCCGTGGCTGTCACAGTGAAAGCTCCTGCTGCAGGGGTGGTGGGGGCTTCCCCGCGGAGGACACCTGGTCCCGGCACACGCTCAGGGGCGGCAGGTGAGCATGCTTCCCAGGCCTGGCCTTTGGGACAGGAAGGCAGGGAGGGGCAGCGGGGAGGCAGGCAGAGAGGCCTTCCCATCAGGAAACATTTCCTGTCGCGTCTGCCGCCCAGCCTGCTTGCTGGCCGCGCAGCTGCCTACGCCCTCCAGCTCACCAAAAACAGCCTCAAAAACAACCATTTCCTCTTGCCGAGAGACCGGGGAGACGCGAGCTCCTGCACATGCACACGCGCTTCCCTGTGGCTGCGCTCTGCTTTCCAGGACCTGCCGTTCTTGAGAGTGGTGGGTGGCTCTGGGACCGGGCCCAGGCAGCAGAGAGGCAGCACCCCTCGCCCTGCAGCCCTCCGACGACCCCCACGGTCACTGCAGGAGAGAAGAGGCGCATCCCTGAGCCTTGGCCTCCCGGGAAGACGGCACAACCCCAGCTCTGGATTCTCGCGGGTGCCCGCGTCCCCGCCCCGGGATGGGCTTTGCGGCCACAGGCCTGACCCTGCTCCAAGTGCAGGAGGGAGGCTAAGGCAGAGCTGAGAGGCGGGCTCCCTGGACGCAGCCCATGGGCCATCTGTCTGCCTGGCAGGGGCCCACACGTGTCACCTCCAAGAATGAGCGGTGATGTCCTCTAGCCGCCCCTAGCAGCGTCTCTGTCCCGCGTGGCCGGACTTGGGGCTTTCTCTGCGCTAACGGACATCTCCGGGCGGCCATGGCCATCCACAAACTCGTCGCCACTGCCGTGCTGGTGGCCCTCGTCTCCCTCATCCTCAACAACGCGGCAGCCTTCACCCCCAACTGGGTGTACCAGACGCTGGAGGACGGACGCAAGCGTAGCGTGGGGCTGTGGAAGTCCTGCTGGCTGGTGGACAGGGGCCGCGGAGGGCCGAGCCCCGGGGCCAGAGCCGGGCAGGTGGACACACGGGACTGTGAGGCCCTAGGCTGGGGCTCCGAGTCAGCAGGCTTCCAGGAGGCTCGTGGCACCGTCAAACGTAAGTTGATTTGGAATTTCTGTTGCCTTCTGAGGGGGTGGGGTGTCAGCAGACAGGAGACTGCTGGGGCCGGCAGGCGAGGGCAGTGGGTGCAGACCTGGACTCTGTACACGTCTCTGCTGGAGCGGGGAGCACTGGGGCCCCACGGCCACGGGGCCGCGTGGCAGCCTGGACTATCTGCACCTTCAAGGAATTAGTCATGTGGGCGGTTAAGCTGAAGGTTGGGTAGGGTAACCACAGCCAGACAGATTCTTTCCCTTGCTTGAGAATAAACACTGAGGCCTGAAGACACGTGCGTGAGTCCCGCTTCTGCTGCACAGGGCTCAGGGTCCTCAGGGCTCCCAGAGGGGCCTGGGCAAGGACAGGGGGCCACTGGCCTGCACGGTGGGACCCTGACTTCAGCAGCTCCAGTGCAGGTCTGCATCTGCCAAAGCCAAGTGCCTGGATGGCCCTCAGTCCACTGCCAAGTGCCCCAGGCTCTCCAGGGCAGTGCTGCTCAGGCTCAGGCGCTGGGTCTACACAAGGCTTCCAGAGTGTTCCTGAAATCCTCGAGGAACACTGAGTGCCACCATCAGCTATCCTGTGAACTGCCGTGGGCAGGGGACATTACCCTCATTTCATAGACGAAGAGACTGAGGCTCTGCCAAGGTCCCCAACCAGATCGAGGTGCCCATGTCACACCACACAGCCCAGGCAGGCCAGGCTTCCTCTGCCCTCGGTGGGCGGAGAGCAACAGCTCCTTTCACACAGACCAAAGCCTGTCAATGAGCCCACAATTTTCCACTCACACTTAGGGGTCTGGGGAAACCGGAGCGACATGCTGCACCTGCTTGTGGGATTGCTGTGGGACCAGCGCCAACCGCACTGCCCTACCTCAGGAGGTGTGGCAAGCTGCCACCGGACCCAGGACCCCTAAAGCCAGCTAGGTATCTCTGATAACTGGAGTGCCTTGTCGTGTCTCTCACATTAGACCAGCCATGGACAGGCGGTGCAGCCCACCGACAAGGCTGGTGAGCTGGGGCCAGTAGGACACTGGGGCCCCGTCACTGTGGCCCGGTGCTGCGCCGTCTCGGCTGTCTGCACCTGCGGCTCCCTGTCCCCACACCGTCTGGGAAGCGCACAGGTAACTTCCCCTGCCTGAAGACGGCACTGTCCCCCGGGATCTGGGCAGCAAACATCTGTTCAGGAAATGGCTCCTGATGAGACACTGAGACCCAGCTGCAGAGAGGCACTGGAGGCCAATGGGCAGGCTGGATTGCAGACAGGACTGCTGGTGGGCAAAGCCCCATAGGTCAGCCTCGCCCGAGGGGGGCTGCACATGGCAAGCCCGGGACCTGGGGCCAGGCTCTCCCCCACAAAGCTGTCTGAACCAGCCACACACATGTATTCTCCTCCAGGCAGGCCTGCGGGCTTGCCATCCCATGCAGCCTGATTCGTGGCCATGACCTGCCACCACCCAGCTGTCACCCAACCTATGAATGTGCATAAAGTCTACTCACAAGCTCAGCAGTCAGAACTCACACAGGTCACCAGGCCCACGGGGGCCGCTCGGGGCCACCAGCCGCCAACGCCGAAGCCTCATTCCCTGTAGAACCCTGCTTGTGGACAGAACGCCAGAGGGCTCCGACACCCCGCAGGCCACGAGCAGGAGTCGCCTTTGTGATGACAGGGATGCCTATGGGGATCATTTCCCGATGGTTGGTCTTCCTGGGGCGCCAGGCGTCCAGACCCTGCCAGGGCAGGGATGACTCCCAGGTTCCTCTAGTCCAGGCCTGCCCACCCTGTGCCACTCACACACAGTCTGAGTCGTAGGGGACCTCCCCAGCAGTGGGCTGCGGTGACCGGCCACCTCTAGCCAAAAGCTCTCCTCCTGGCGGGAGCCTGGGGGTCCAGCGGGCCCGAGGCCCACCTCACTCCCTGGCCCTCATTCGCTGTCTCGTTTCTTGTACTTGTTTCGTGCTGCCATGGCTGACATCCTGCCTGGTGGCCTTAGTCCTCTCAAGAGGCAGCACATGGACAGATGAGCAGATAACTGGGTTTTGCAGGAGACAGGCAGAGCCCTGGACTCCTAAGAAGGGGCGATGGGGCTGGAAGTGAAGCCCCGGAGGCAGTCCCACTCAACACAGGGGCTGGACCGTCAGCAGTTGCGCCTGCGCCTGTGGGCACTCCTCATGCTGACCTGCAGGTGCTCTCCGGAGGCCCCTGGGGTCTCACAGAACCTCCACCACGAGGGGTGCAGGGCTGCAGCCAGGGAATGTGGGCACAGGGAAGGGTCGGGGTCACTGCTCTGACAGCAGCCCCAACAGTGCCTCCCGACATCCCTGCCCCTGTTTACTTAGGTTCTGCCTGGCAGCTGTGACCTGGGCTGCTTGGCACCCCGCTCCTGTTCTCCAACGTGTCCCATTCTTTGAGGTCTCCAGTTGGCCACAGAAATGCCTGAAGCAACTGCAGGCAAAACCCAGGGCACGTCACTGCTCAGAAAGGGCCTCCCAAAGGCCTTGCCGGGCACTCGCCCTGGATGCCTTCAGGCAGGCAGGCACTCGGGCTCCCGCACCCGCACTGTTCTGCCAGGTTGGCGGTGCAGACCGCACTGGCGGCCACGAGGGATCCGGCAAATCAGCTTCCTGCCCGTCAGCACTCCACACAGGCTCACTCTCTTCCCTGAGGGAGGAGAGGATCGGGGGCATCAGGCCTGGCCTCAGCAGCCCTCACAGCCACGCATGCGTGTCTGGGACCCCTGAGGCCACGCCAGGGCTGGATGCGTTGAGCCTTTTGGCCCGTACTCTGTCCTCCAGCTCCACACTTATGCTCCAGGGTCACGCCTCCCCAGGGGCCCCTCCATCGCCACGCCAGCCTCACCGCTGTGTTCCTTCAACAGAGGGAAGGCAGTTGGTGAGCTCCCACCTACTCATTCCCTGCCCGAGCTGGGGACACCATCTGGGCCTCCCACTGCGGGGGCAGCAGTCCAGGCACGTGTGTCATCTGCCTCCTCAACGACATGTGAGCAACACGCCGGGCCATAAGCAGAGCAGCGACGACTCGAGCCGGGCACTCCTCTGCAGGAAGCGGGCAGTGTTGCACCCGCTAGGCGAGTGCCTCCCTGGGACGTAGTGGCATGGCTCCCAGTACCTCAAAGATTATGTTTCATGCTGGTTTAATGGCTCTTTTGAAGACTAAAGAACAGAAACTCTGCTGTCTAGTAGCAGTCCCCACCAATGCTGCCTGTTTCATTCTGACAAAACAGAGTAGGAAAGGGGGCTGGTTCCCTGCTCAGAGAGAGAGAGAGAGAGCGCGCACTGCTGGGAGAGAGAGAGAGAGAGAGAGCGCACTGCTGGGAGAGAGAGAGAGAGAGAGAGCGCACTGCTGGGGTCCCTGCTGAGAGAGAGAGAGAGAGAGAGAGAGAGAGCGCGCACTGCTGGGGTCCCTGATGAGGCCCAACCCACTCCCTGAGCCTCATTCTCCATCTGTCTTTTGTACTTATTTCACACTGTCATGGCCGACAGGCCCTCCCGCCTGGTGGCCTGAGTCCTCTTGAGGGAGGCAGCACAGGGCCAGTGTGCAAGGGCGGCTCTGACCGACCACTGCCTGGGACTTCAGAGGTGGCAGCGACTGAATGACAGAAGCAGCTCAAGACACGACAGGCAGGGTGGCTGGTCTGACAGCGCAAGCTGGCTGGGTGCTGGTGCCCTGTGACCTGGGGACCCATGGGATGGGTGCTTGTTCCTAGGTCCCTGCTCCCATGCACCCTGAGGAGGCAGCAGGTTGCTCCAGGAGGGCTGGGCTGTTGCTACCACATGGGAGACCGGGTGTAGTTCTGGGCTCTTGGCTTCCACCTGGCTCCACCCTGGCTATTGCAAGCACCTGGGGAGTGGTCCGGTGGATGGGCACTCTCTCCTCTTACTGCCACTTCATGTGACTAAGGTGAGCTGGCCTGCAGGCTTGCAGGTGCCTGCGCTACCCACCCAGCGGCACTGCCAGGCCTGTGCCTAACTGCTTATGTGCTTCCTGTCCGTGGGCAGAGCCCTCCTTGCTGGCTCCGCTTATTCACTCACACCTGCCCAGCAAAGTACCTCTGGCCTCCTCCTCCAGTGGCCACCAAGGAAACAGCACACTGGGCAGCTCCGAGGGACTTCCGGGCTCTTAGAAGATTCTGTTGCTTCTCACTTATTTTTATGTTTCTTTAAAATTTATTAAAATTTTTCATTTTTTTGAAAGGTAGAATGACAACAGTGGAGAGAGAGAGAGAGCATGCGTGAACGAGAGCTAGAGTAAGAGTTCTACTGTCCGATGGTCTACTTCCAAAATACCCACAGCAGCCAGCATTGGCCAGAGCCAGAGGCAGGAGCCTGGAAACTGTATCTGGTCTCTCACAGGGATGGCAGGACCCAAAACTGAGCCTAAGCTGCTGTCCAAGGGTGTGCAGGAGCAGGGAGCTGGCAGGCCCTGACCCAGGCACTGCCGTGTGGGATGTGGCACCCTTGATGCCCACGTTTCTGGTACACATTTTCTGTGGCCAATTCTGAAACTCAGCCACTGACGTCTCTCCAACTTCTGCATGAATTTACATTTCGAGGAGAGTTGCTGTTTGCGACAAGTGATTCCATTTTATGAACTGGTTTCTAAACTTTGCCCAGCCCAGACACAGAACGGATGCCGAGGATGGACGAGGCTGGTGCTTCCTGCGCAGCACTGCTGTCGCAGGCCCGTCTGTCCCCTGTGGGAAGGTGGAGGCTGGGCTCCTGTTTCAGGGCCCAGGCTGGGCTCCACCAGGGGAGTATAAGGCTCCCCTCGGCAGGCAGCCCAGCCCCACCGGGCTCTGTCACCTGTCCTCCGCATCCTCCTGGCTCTTGGTTCCAGGGCGTTGGGTCGTCAATACGGGCTCTGGTCAAAGGCAGAGGGTGGCACTGGGGCAGGAAGGGCCGAGAGTGAGCGGGACAGTCCTCAGGGGCGCTGGCTTCACTAGCCTGGGTGTGGTGTGACTAGCCCAGGTGAGTCCTTCATAGTCTTGTTCTCCTGTGGGAGCAGGGAGGAGCAGTGACACTGACTGGAAGACAGTGCTGGCAAGAGGGATGCTGGGCGGGAGCCAGGACCCCCCCCCAGCCGGGGCCTCTGCACTGCTTCACACTGAGGATGACAGCTGCAGACAGGCCAGGCAGCGTGGACGTGGGCTGTGGCGAGCCGAGCGGCCAGGGCTCCCGCCAGAGACCTCTAGCAGGCTCTGCCCAGACGAGGCTGGACATATGCCCACTGCCTTTCTCAAGGCATTGCAGAGACCAAGAGAGCAAACACAGCTAGCTCCCCACTCGCCACACTGACCCACCTCTCCTCTGCTCCCACCCACAGTGCAGTTCGACATGATGCGAGCCTGCAACCTGGTGGCTACGGCGGCGCTGGCTGCAGGCCAGCTCACATTCATCCTGGGGCTGGCGGGCCTGCCCCTCCTGTCTCCGGAGTCCCAGTGCTGGGAGGAGGCCATGGCTGCTGCTTTCCAACTGGCAAGTAAGTAAGACAGGCAGAGGCCGCCCACACTCCCATCAGACACAAGACCCTGGGCCTTCTGCTGCCACCTGAGATGGCTTGAGGATGAGTCCAGTGCAGGGGCCTGGATACCTCTTGGTCATTTCCAGGGTGAGAGGGAAGAGGGCGGGCAAGTTGTGACAGCTGCCCTGCCGGGACCCTGGGCTGGGCCATCTCTGGTTATTCTCCCCACACCATACACTCATCTGCCCTGTGTTCTCCGAGGATTTGGCTGTGGGAGACCATGAGGTCACAGACAGAAGCTGACTCGGGGGACATGGCAGTCCAGCACAGGAGTGGCCAGCTCCTGGCCAACCCCCTTGCCTTCTCCTCTTAGGGCAGGAGGGCAGCCTTTCCCAGCGGCCAGTGTGCTGTCCCACAGAGGCAGGGCAGGAAGCTGAGGCGAATCACTCTAGGAATAATGGACGTGGGCCCTTATCGTCCATGAGATACGCCATTTCCAGAAATGCAGCTGAAAGGCTGTGCCAGGCGTCCATGTGCTGGAAGGAGCCTGGTGAGGGATGAGAAGCCGGGCTCTGGGGAGTGACAAGAACAGGGCAGCCGTGTGGCCCTGGGCAAGTCCCTGCTTCTTGGTCGGGCCAGGGCTTGGGTGGGAGATGGTGGTGCCTGTCTCCTGAAAGCTCGGTCAATGTTTACAAACTGGAAGTGTGCCATGGCCCGTCACGTCTTAGCACTGCCGTGCGTGTGGGCAGGTCAGCCTGCATGACGGGATGGGGGCACCTGCTGCTTCTGCCTAGAGAACCAAGGTTCAGTCTGCCTCCCTCCTGGGACCTCATGGAGGCACCCCGGCAACATCGCGGGTTCCCTTCTCTGCTGACTCCGGGGCCGCTCTTCCCTGGTCTTACCCAGCACCCATCTGTCCCAAGTGACCTGCCGTCCCTCAAACACAGAAATGGAAGATTTGGAAAATGTGATTGGAAAAGTTAAATAGGTCATTTTAGCATCATCAAAGAAACAAAAGTCACAGCTCTGGAAGCGGACTCAATGCTGAAAACAGCTCCTTCCTGCAAGGCGATGGTGCGGCCCAGCCGCCTATCCAGACCGTCAAAGATGACAGCTCACTTCCTGCACTCAAGCCTTTCTAAAAACGGTGGGTGTGGGAGGCACGGGACCCCTGTGTCTCATGACTACTTTTAGGCTGACCCAGCCTCTGAAAAGGTCAGGCCTGGCCCTCTTCAGCCGGTGGGACAGGTGGAGGCCAGCACAGAGGCAGGCGTGCAGGTGGGCGGAGTGCAGGCTGTGCCCGCTCCCCGCTGCCCCGCCCAGGGTCTGTTGGAGCCCAGAGGAAATGCAGCGGCCTGCTCAGCCTGCTTCATTGACAAACAGAACAGAGAGCCACCGTGCCTTTCTTCTATCGCATGGCTAATTTTAGAGCTGGTTCTTTCCTGTGCCTGGGTCTGTTTTAGACAGCCAGGGGGAGACTGCAGGGCGCCGGGATGTCCTGTCACAGGACGAGGAAACGCCTGCCATTACCTGTTGTGCAAGCGGGCCTTGAGCCCCGTGGCCAGTGAGGTGGGGTGGCTGGCGGGGAGAAGGGACCCAGCGTGGAGGCAGGGAAGTCGGGGGTGAGCGGCCAGCTCCCAGGACGTGGAAGCCACTGGGAGCCAGTGAAAAAAGCAAGAAACAGAAGGGACCCACCCCTCTTACCCTATAGGAGACTGGGCCTTGCTAGCTTGTTCATACCACAGATGTTTCTGGGCACTGGAATCGACCCTGGTGCCAGCTGTGCCTATAGAGGAATACCCTATGTTCCCCAGGCTGTGGTGGCTTTTGAGGGTTGCGGGGACCATGTGACCCACTTGAAGGACATCGGGTCTCTTCACCTCAGAAGCGCCCAGTGCTCAGCGTCTCCGGGAGTGCCCACCACGTACTGTTCCAGTCCCTTGCTTGGTGCTGCCTGCGCAAGCCCAGACGACAGCTCTCTGGTGTTCCCTGACTTCCCCGTGAAGCCCTGGGCCATGCCGGCAAGCGCACAGGAGCACCGACATGGGGAGCGTGCCCTGGGCACTGCCATCTCCTACTCAGGCGTCAAATGGACGCTCCTGGCCAGGACTCTGCCAGGCTCCAGACATCCTGCACCTGCCCAGGCCTTGTCACCTGCCAAGTCTGCGGTGAGACACCGTTTTCCGGCAGCTATCCAGACCTCTGTGCCCGGCAGTGCTGCCCACAGGAGTCCAGCTCAGGGACCAGGTGTGCCCCTCAGCCACTGCCTGCCAGCTGTGCGCGGCGCCTCACCCCAGCACGAGGGCTTTGCAGGCCCTGCTGCGGACAGGGGCCATGCTGCTTTCCTGCTTTTCTTTTTCTCCTTTAAAAACATCCTCTTCCATTCCCATTATCCTTGGAATTCTTACAGCCCATGCTTTGGAAAATGGTAGCATATAGTTCCCCAAGTCCCAAGCAAATGACATCAGGGGCCTCAGAAACGGTGCCATGGGCTGCAGCGACCCATCTCCCTGGGACCCAGGGACACAGGAGTGGAGGTGGCTCACAGACATGGATGGCTTCGTTTCTGAGTGAGCCAATTTTCTGGAAGCGCATGTGTTTCCTTCGGGATGGTCTCCAAAAACAAGGCCTTCACGGAAGTTAACTGCAGGCCGAGCCTGGCGCTATACTCAGAGCTCCATTTCCACCCAGTGGGCGAGCCGGCCCCATCTGCTTTCTAAACACCCACAGTTCAGCCAGCTTAGCCTGGCATTTGACAGCTCACAGTCACCTGAAACTGATGGACAGAGGGCACGGGCTCCAGGCTGCACTGTCACTTGTCCTTCTGACTCGCAGCCCTGCAGGCTTCGGCACAGGGACATTAAGGGTGGAATTCACTATGGGACTGACGGAAAGCTGCTTCTCCTGGCCTGTTTCCCTGGCGCACTCTGGGGGTGCAAAGCTGCACACACACACTCTGAGCTGAAACCGGCTCCGGCCCCTGAAGACGATGATTGTATCGGCCCCACGTGAGGTGGCTGAGCGACGCCTGGAGAACCGGCACCCCACGGACTGGTGAAGGTTGTGGAGTTTCAGACCCGACTTCTCCAGATGCTGTCTTCTAAAACAGACCGGTACTAGCTGGGCTGGCACTGGTGTGCCAGGTAGTGGTCTGCACCTGCCCCGTGCCTCCTAGCTTCTTTCCGATATACCCTCTTCCCATGCGGGGGCTTTGTGCTCCCACGGGAACAACGCTGCTGAAACCTCTGCCTCCTGGGAGAACGTGTCCATCACCACCATCCTGCTGCTCAGATGCTGAAAAACGCTCGGCCCTGAGAGCCTGTGCGAGGCAGTCAGGGCGGGACTGTGGCTCCAGCAACTGGCCTGCTGGTAGGTGGCAGGGGTCAGCCCCAGGGTCCTGCCACTGAGGCCGCCTGTGAATGTGAGTCTGACAGTCATTCCGAAAGGAAGGCCCTGTGACAGCAGCCGCAGCTCCAGGAAGCGGACAGGAAGGAAACGCGAGAGGCAAGGGGCGCTGTGCCGGCGGCGCTGTAATTCGCACGCCCGCGGCCGGCGAGCAGGAAGAGACTGTTTGCTTTGGCAACTGAGCTTCACCAAGATGGAATCGATGCCCTGTGCAGCGGCCTGTGTGCTCAACTCTCCTCCAGGTTTGCTTCCTGAAAAACCGCTCCCCTACGCTGCAGAGCTGGGTCTGGGGATAGACCCTCAGGGTAAGGCAGTGGTAAAATGGAGAACTCCGAGCCCAGGGGAGAAACATGCAGCAAGAGGTTATTGCTGTCAAAACGGTGTCCCTGGCACAGAGCAGCGCTCCTGCTGGCCGCCCACGCCAGGAGGCCACGGCCCTGCACTGCAGGTGCCCTGTTTCCCACGTCTGGAATCTCAGCCCACATCAACAACCATCTGTACACTACTCCACAGCTCTGGGCAGGCTCCATTGGCACCACCTGGCAAGGCGCATGTGGGAGCTTCCTGTGCCCACAAGCGCAGCTTCTGAAAGCTTTCCAAGCTGGAGCAGGGCTGATGCCCAAAGCTGCTTCCCCCAAGACTCCTGACAGGCGGGTGGAGCGGGCCTGCGCACTGCTGCTCTACGGACAGCCCGCCCCTTCCTGCTGGCCCCAGCTCAGCCGCACCTGAGGACAGAGGGCCACACCCTGGGGCGGCTGTGTAGCTTTCCCTCCGGAGCAAACTCTCAGCCTTTCTCCTTTTGTTAGGGATTTATTTAAAGGCACAGAGTTCCTTCCCTTTCTGTAACTCTGCCTTAAGGGAAGGAGGGAGGGAAGTAGAGAGGGGGAGAGAGGAAGGGTGAGCGAGAATCTCCCATACCGTGCCTCACTTCCTGAAGGCTGCAATGACGGGGCGGTCCAGGCCAAAGCCAGGCATCAAAGGCGCACTTCATCTGGGTCCCACCCAGGCCCTCAGCGGGGAGCGGCTGGGACCTCAGCTGGTGCCCATGTAGCACGCCAGCATCACAGGCAGTGGCTTTACCTCTGATGCCACAACCCCCGCTCCTCTCACCTCATGAGGAGCTCTCTCCTCACCTTCCTCACCTGAGGAGAACTCTCAGAAGCCAGCACGTGCCCCTGATCCTGCATCTTTGTCATGGTAAGCTAAAGTAATAAGTGGGATAAAATGACTAAAATAGCTCTCTGTTTTCTTTCTTTTTTTTTTAGTATTTTTTTTTTAAAGATTCATTTATTTTTATTGGAAAGTCAGATATACAGAGAGAAGGAGAGACAGACAGGAAGATCTTCTGTCCGATGATTCACTCCCCAAGTGACTGCAATGGCCAGAGCTGCGCCAATCTGAAGCCAGGAGCCAGGAGCTCCTCCAGGTCTCCCACATGGGTGCAGGGTCCCAAGGCTTTGGGCCGTCCTTGACTGCCTTCCCAGGCCACAAGCAGGGAGCTGGATGGGAAGTGGAGCAGCCGGGATTAGAACCAGCCCCATATGGGATCCCGACGCAATCAAGGCGAGAACTTTTGCTGCTAGGCCACTGTGCCGGGCCCAATAGCTCTCAATTTTAAGAAACATAGGATACTGATCTTAAGCAGCATCTTAAGCAAAGCACTTGGGAGCAAGGTCCACTGCTGCGTGGGGTACACCCGCACCCCGCAGAGTGACTCTGCCTCTACCCAGCTTCCTGTGACACACCCATGGGAGACGGCTTCAGGACCCTTGTGGGCATCTGGGGAGTGAAATAGCAGAGATCTCTATTTCTGCCACTCCGTTTTCCAAATAGATACATGGGTATCTACCACGGCACGCCTCCCCAAGCCCATGGCAAGGGCTCAGCAGACAGGGGCGCCATGCTCTAGGCCGGTGCCCTCCGCCCAGCTTGGGGGCTGCAGCTCCCCTTGCTGAGGCCCACAGCCAGCTCTGCTCCGCTCTGTGTCTTGATAGGGCCACTGCTGAGCTCTCAAGGGCCTTTCCACACATCTGCACTCCCCACCTGGAGTTGCCCCCAGTCTCACTCCCAGGCCCTCCCATAGGCTGAGTGGGGAATCCCATCTTGGTGCCCCAGCGCCTGTATGCCTGTACAGCGTAGTCCTAGGCATGTGAGCGGTGTCTACACAGCTCTGCTGCATGCAAGCAGAGTGGCATCCAGAGGGAACTGAGATGGGAGGGCCCTTGCCAGCCAAAGTCTGCCTGTAAAGCTGACGACCACTCTGTTGAAGAAAGGACTCCATCATGGCCAGTGGGGCCTACTATCCCCAGTAACTGCTGGGAAGCCCAGCCCGCTCCCCAGGGAGTCTCTGGGGCTGCCTGTGAGTCAACCAGGAAGATGGGGGATGCTGCAGGGCCTGAGCACCATGAGGCAAGGCACATGTAAAGGGCACGGCGTGGCCGTGCGCAACAGGTATCTCGGCCCTCAAGGCTGGCCCTGCGAAGGTCTAGATGCCTGCAAGTACATCTGGGGTGGTCATGTCCCTTCAGGAAGTACCTGCTAAGGGGGGGTGTCTAAATTTCACTGTAATCTGCTTTTTCAAGATTCATTTATTTTTATTGGAAAGTCAGATATACAGACAGGAGGAGAGACAGAAAGATCTTCCATCCGATGATTCACTCCCCAAGTGGCCGCAATGGCCAGAGCTGAACTGATCTGAAGCCAGGAACCAGGAACCTCTTCTGGGTCCCCCATGTGGGTGCAGGGTCCCAGAGTTTTGGGCTGTCCTCGAAGGCTTTCCCAGGCCACAAGCAGGGAGCTGGATGGGAAGTGGGGCTGCCGGGATTAGAACCGGGGCCCATTATGGGATTCCGGTGCGTTCAAGAAGACAACTTTAGCTGCTATGCTACAGTGCCAGGCTACACTCCGCTCTTTTCAAGGGCTTTATTGAGATACACACACACAAACTCAGGAGCCAGTGGAGCACATATGTCCTTCTGTGATGTCCCCAGAGGTGGCCACGCTCCCATGCTGGGGGTCACTTCCATGTTCTCTGTGCAGCTCTTCCTCCTCCTCTGCCTTCCCCACCAGCAGCTGGTGGAGCTGAGCCTCCGTGTGAAGCCTCGTGTGTTCCTTGTGCCTTCTTCCTCCAGAGACTGGGGAGTCTCGGAGTCAGCCAGAGGACACAGGCTCACTGGCACGCTGGCCGCCGGCTGCTCATCTGCCAGGGATTGTCACTCGCTGACCTCCACAAGCGGCACCGCATGGAGCTCTCCCCTTCCTAATCTCGGGTGGTGTGGTGGGAGAGCAAGCCCACCTACTTGGAAAGGTCAGGGCCAGCTCTTCCAGTGTCCCCAAGTCTCCAGGGACCTTCCTGTATTGTGTTGGACATCAGAGCCATGAGACAGGTGGACTCAGCTCTGAGATGCTCTGGGGACCATGTGAAGCTGCTTCCTCTGCGTCTTCCATGGTGACAGAGGGCACTGTGGGACTGGCACCACACAATGGTATTTTATTTTTTAAGATATTTTAAAAGGCAGAATGTCAGAGAAGGCAGAAAAAAACCGAGAGAGAGAGAGAGAGAGAGAGAGAGAGAGAGAGAGAGAGAGAAAGCAAAGGAAGGGAGGGATCTATCTTCCACTTGCTGGTTTAGTCCCCAAATGGCTACAACAGGCAGTCGTGGGCCAGGCCTAAAGCCAGGAGCCTAGGACTCCATCTAGGTGTCCTGCCTGTGCGAGAACTGGACCAAGTGCTTGGGCCATCTTCTATGCCTTCTTAGGTGCACTGGCAGGGAGCTGGATCAGAAGTGGAGCAGCCAGGACTTGAACCAGTGCCCATAAGGGATGCTGGCATCATAGCCACTACGATGCTCATCTCATGTAATAGCCTGAACAAATGTGCAAATGCGGAGCGCTGAGTAAAGAGAGAAGAGCTTTAGGCCATGGCAGGGTGTGGGAGCCGGTGCCTCACTGGGACAGCTAGCTGATAAAACTCAGAACAGGGCCTGGTGTGATGGCTGTTACTAAATCCTTGCCTTCCAAGTGCCGGGATCCTATATGGGTGCTAGTTCGTGTCCCAGATGCTCCAGTTTCCATTCAGCTCCTACTTGTGATATGGCAAAGCACCAGAAGATGGACCAAAGCCTTGGGACCCTGCACCAATGTGGGAGACCCAGAGGGGGCTCCTGGCTTTGGACTGGTTCAGCTCCAGCCACTGTGGCACTTGGGGAGTGAACCAGCAGATGGAAGCTCTTTCTGTCTCTCCTCTCTGTAAATTTCTCTTCCCAATAAAATAAATAAAACTTTAATACAAAACAAAACAAAAACCCAGTTGCTGCCAGACATAAAAGTTCCTTCCCATACACCTGGTTTCCAGTCCAGCCTGGCCTGCTGGCAACCCTGACTGCTCAGCCTCTGCCCCCAGGCTGGCTCTCCTGGCCCCTGCAGAGAGTGGGTCTCACACCTCAATGGCCTGAGCAGCACCCACCCACTCACAGGCCCTCCAGCCTCAGAGAATCACACACCGCACAGGGGCTGTCAGCAGGGGCGAAGTCAGCGTCCAACATCTCCACACGCTGGAATTCCCTAGAGGGGATCGCCAACGAGCACGAAGGCTCCAGGAGCTTCTCACACGGAGAATTAGAAAGGATTAGCATAGAGGCCAGCTGCCATCATTGTTAGGACACGATGGACCAAGATGCACTCGTGGTCAGAGGGGATGCCTTGTCTGCAGAACAACCACAGCTCTGCCGCTCTGGGGCCACACTTCCCTAGGAAAGTGGAGACCACCAGTGGGCAAGGATGGAACAGTGTGAACATAAGTGTGGTGTCCACTCCATGTGCCTGCCAGGAGAGAGACAGGATCGGGGCTCAGGCTGGCCAGAGCCTGTGGAGGGACATGCAGGGTCTGGGAGGCACTCCCAAGTTCCACCTGTACCTGCTTGCTGCAGTCTAGAATGGGAGGGCAGGTCACCTGGAGCACTGGCTACTGGGAACATGTGCAGTGGCCTCAATCTCAGCATGGCCTAGGTCTGCCGGGTGTGTGGACACCCCCTCTCCTGCTCCCAGCTGCCTTCAGGCCTGCCTCCTCAGCCACATCACAGAGCTCTGTTCACCTGTGACATGTCCAGGGCATGGAAACCCAATCTCCCTACTGCAACAACAGGTCAAATCAAGACAAAACTGCGAGAGGGCAGGCCTGCGGGAGCGCCCACTGCCCACTGCGAACATGCTTTGTGGGTTGCACTACTCCCCTTGCCTCAGCTGCTTGGGACCCAAACTCTAAAAAGAAGAGAAGAGTCCAGGATGGGGGAGAGACGACCCAGATTTAGAGCTCCCATCAAAAAAGATGCCAGATACCCAGAGACCCAGGCAAGGTCTGCAGCCCCTACTCGCTCCCCTCCCCCACCCTCCAGCTCCTGGCACCTTCAGTCTCGAAAGCAGATCACTGTTTTCTTGGAAAGCAAAGCCAAAGCTACAAGCAAAAGTCAGATGAACACAAACACGAATCAAGTCAGACAAAACCTGGGCTGTCTCTAAGCCGACTGCTGTCTACACACAGGCTTAGCACCAGTGCAGCCGCACGTTGGGAGGGTGGGGGCCGCCGCTTGGGTGGGCTGCAGCCAGAGCTCCCACCTCCCCTCTGCTGCTACTGAACAACTTTGTTTTGTCTGCAGGTTTTGTCCTTGTCATCGGACTGGTGACCTTCTACAGAATTGGCCCGTACACCAACCTGGCCTGGTCTTGCTACCTGAACATTGGTGCCTGCCTTCTGGCCACCCTGGCAGCTGCCATGCTCATCTGGAACATTCTGCACCGGAGAGAGGACTGCATGGCACCCCGGGTCATCGTCATCAGCCGCTCCCTCACAGCGCGGTTCCGGCGAGGGCTGGACAACGATTACGTGGAGTCCCCATGCTGAGGCCGGCGCCTGCGCAGCGCCAGTGCGTGTGGGCCGCTGAGCGACACATGCACATTCACTAGGCTATGCAAGAGTATCCTGCACGTCCCTGTCCGCTACGGGCGCCAACCACTTCCGACATAACCTTCCTCAGCGGCGCAACTCGGCTTCCCAGCCACGCACATTCGGGGGGTGAGCCTGGAAACAGGCAGGCAGAGGGCAGTGTGGCCGTCCTGCTCTCTCCCTCGGCTTGGGGTTAACTTACTCTGCGTTGGCCCAGAGCACCCTGGTCACATTCCCTTAGGTAAGGCACACCAGCAGCAAGGTTCTCTTCAAGTGTCCACGGTATCCCGCAGGGAATCAGGATTTACGGCCGGTGATGGTCTCAGGACAGAACTGTGTTAGTACTGTACGTTATCTTCCTGACTATTTTTCTAACTTAAAATAAATGCAAGTATCTTAACATCCTCCAACGTGTGCTCCATTAACCTCCAGGGCCGCAGGGGGGAGGCGTTTGCTCCCTGTGATCCCGTGACGGACACGCAGGGGAGGCCAGCTGAGCTTTCACGCTGCGGTGGGGCACTCACCCTCGTCCTGCTTCCCAAGGTGCCCGTGCCTGTTGGCCTCTGAATACCACAGACACTGTGGCACTGCCCAAGTAACAAGTCCCTTAAGACACAGGTGTCGGGCCCGGCGCGGTGGCACAGTGGTTAAAGGTCCTCGCCTTGCACGCCCGGGATCCCATATGGGCGCCGGTTCTATCCCGGCAGCCCCGCTTCCCTTCCAGCTCCCTGCCTGTGGCCCGGGAAAGCAGTCGAGGACGGCCCAAAGCTTTGGGACCCTGCACCCGTGTGGGAGACCTGGAAGAGTCTCCTGGCTTCGGATCGGCATAGTGTTCGTCGTTGGGCTCACTTGGGGAGTGAATCATCGGACGGAAGATCTTCCTCTCTGTCTCTCCTCTCTGTATATCCACCTTTCCAATAAAAAAAAATAATAAAAATAATCTTTAAAAAAAAGACACAGGTGTCAACGGGTGGGCCCTGCGGTGCAGAGGGTCACCTGCTGCCTAGGCACCCAGGATGCCAAGGGAGTCCTGCCTGCCCTGATTGGGACCCACCTCCTGCTCACGTGCCTGGAGGGCAGAGGACAGCTCAAGGGCCCCTGTACTTACTGCAGGGACCAGGGGGGCTTCCTGCTTCCTGTCTGCAGCTGGACCCAGCTCTGGGGGCTGTGGACACTTTGGGAATAAAGGAGAAGCTGGAAGGTCTCTGAGCTCTGCAGGGGCCAGTGCTGTGGCGCAGCATCCCTGTGGGCACAGGTTTGAGTCCCGGCTGCTGCACCTTCAATTCAGATCCCTGCTGAGGCAGCCAGCAAAGCAGCAGATGGCCAAGTGCCCGGCCTGGACGCTCTTGGCTCCGGCCTTAGCCTGGTCCAGTCAGCTCAGTCATCTGGGGATTGAGTCAGCAAACAGAAATCTGCCTTTCCTTCTCTATATAACTCTGGTTTTAAAATAAAATTAATGAGGTTTTTTTCTAATCTTATTTTTGATGTTTACCTAGCTGCTTAGGGTGGGAAGGGCCCAGGATCGGGGGAAATGGGTGAGAGCTTTGTGTCCACACTTTTTCTTCCTTCCTGCATCTGGGTGCAAGGGAGAGACCAGGGAAGACGCCACGCCCAGCCTCCCTAGGCCTCAGCACCCGCGGGTGGGGAACGGCTGTCCGCCGTCATCCCAGGGTCCCCGACGCGGAGCCTGCCTCAGGGGTCCTGAAGTGCTGTCCACCTTGCAGATGCGTGGATGAGGTCTCCTCCCCAGGTCCACTGGCTGACACATTACACTTCAATAAATAGATCTTCCACAAAGTAAATCTTTAAAAATGTTTTTTTTCTAAGGAAATTGGTTTACTTTTCCTCCCCAAGTCTATCTTTTAAACTAATTAGTTTGAAGAGGCATGCTGACAGAGCTGCTGCACTTCCCGTTTTACTCCCTAGATGGCGCCAGGCGAGGCCAGCCACGAGGCTGTCTGCTCGCCTTAGACAGCCAGCGGCCTGAGCGCTTGAGCCGTCCTCTGCCATTCACTCAGGTGCATAAGCAGGGAGCTGGATGGGAAGCGGGGCAGCTAGGATTTGAACCAGCACTCAGAGGCCATGCTGGTGTCACTGTAGCACAGTGCTGGCCCCAGAAAAGTGCTCCATTGCATTTTCAGTGGAGACAGAGTACATGAGAGGTACAAGGTGCCTGCAGGATGGTTCCCTCTACGCCGTGTGATCCCCAAGTTATGTGTGGGGACAGTGCACCGCAGCTCTTCAGGCTGGGCAAACAACAGCTGACAACTGTACCCCACGTCCTCACTGGTCTAAGTCCCAGAGCCCAGACCCAAGGGATGCCTTACCACCCGGAGCCCAGGGCCGCCCTACCGCCCAGAGCGGTCCAACCACATGAGCAAGCACGGCACCGATGCTCCGCCTGGGCCTCTCCCGACTGAGCCATGTGACTTGACCGGGTCACTGATGATATCTGACAGGAGAGGATACTGACACTGGCACTGGTGGGTCAAGTCCAATGGCACAAGTGAGATCATGGGTAGCCACTGTGCTTCCTGATGCTTCGCTCTGTTGCTCTCCCCCTCTCCTGCCGAGCCAGGGCAGTGGGCAAGCTTCTTGGACTTGGACGTCCACACTGCTCTGCACAGTGGTCTAGAGTCAGAACCAACGGCGAACAGTCAGGGTTCTAAAGCACACCACCAACTGACCATGCCTGCAGAGAAGCTGTGGACTGGCCACCCCAACGGCTCCCATGGCGTCCCACCCACACTCAGCCACAGGCACGCACGCTCAGCCACGGACACACACAGTTGTGGACGCACGCTCCCATACGCTCAGCCGTGGGCACAGAGCTGTGGACGCACGCTCAGCCGTGGACATACACAGCTGTGGACACACACTCAGCCGTGGACGCACGCTCAGCCGTGGCCTCCTTCTTGGGTTTTTCCTCACTGACTCCTACGCTAACCATGAAAGAATAATAAAATAGTTAAGACGCATCATTGTGCATATAGCTAAATACACTTCAGTAAAGCACGAAAACTGGCCAAGTGGCAAGCTGCAGACATTACCACTGGCTTATTTCCAGAACCCTGGCTGGTGTGGGCAGGCCCTTCAGGGGTAGAGGGCTGGCCAGAGAGTCTCAGGACGACACAGAGCAGGCAGGCACTGCTCTCACAGAAGCCACCACTGCGAAGGCAGCAGGCTCATGCCAGACAACCTCCCAGCACAGCACGCTCCTCAGCAGTGCCTCTCCCCTTCGGGAGTCACAACTGTCCAGGCTCAAGCTGAAATTCCCGACTTTCCTCAGAAATGTAGGAGATGCTTACACACAGGCCTGGCTTCCCAATCAGCTAACTTCTTTTAGAACCATTTTAACTGCCTTCATCTCGCTGGTCTAGTGTTGGCCTTTATCAAGCTGTCTTCACTCAGAAGCAGCTATCTCTAGAGGAACAGGTGTCAGCAGTGCTCAGCAATGGCAGAAACTTCTGGAGAGAAGCACCCAGAACACATTAAACCAAAACAATTCCATGCAATCCAAGAGGCTCTGGCACCACAGAGGCCGAGAACCAGCTCCCCAGTCCACACCCAGGTGTGCAGTCCGGCACAGCCCAGGCCCTGGCAGCACTTTATGGAGCAACAAGACCATGAACTTCACCAGGACAGAGTCACAGAAGAGTTAATTGTTTAGAAACCAGTCTGAGAGGGAGCAAGGCAGGAGACCAAGAAGTGGCCGGAGTCCTCACCTCTTGATGAGTTTGATGGACCGGAAGGCTTCATCCATGTCTCCTACTGTGATGGAGAAGCTGAAGTTGAGTATGGCATCACGAGTGGGTTTGTCGCAGTCCTCCAGCCCCATGAAGTCCCGCAGGGGTCTCGTGACCACCAGCTGGGTGGCCGAGCCCACCTTGTCTTCTCTGTCAGCTTCTCCGGGCTGAAGGACAAAGGGCCCCGTCAGCTTGTTACTGCAGAGTGACACCCACACCCACAGGCAGACACGGGCCCTGCAGGCCCTGCCTACAATGACACGCTAGGGTCACCACAGCTAACTGCAGCTCTGCCTCTGCGTGAGACAAGGGGTAACCGGGGGATGTCCACATGGGGACGGATGTCGGAAAAGTTTCGTTTTCAACAGTTACAAATGCCCACGACAGTTCCCATCTCCCAGGCCGTTCTAGCAACCATGAAGACTTTTCATGATCTGCGGCTGCCCGGCCAGACGTGCACACGTAGCCACAGGCTCTCCTAAAGCTCGTCACCTCGGGCAGCACCTTGCGGTGTTTCTGAGTTCTCACCAGGCTCCCCCACTCTGCTCCAACAAGACGCTAAAAGGGAAGAGACAGCACCCCGGGTCCTGAGCCAAGAGCCACATAGGACACTGCTGGGCCAGCCTCCTTGGCTGGGTATCTTTCCATAGGAGCCACCAAGCTCCCACTGCCACAGCCCTAGAATGGCCCCAAGCCCCTCCAATGGTGGGTTCCACCCCACAGCGATCTGCTGGCACCCCCACACCCAGCCCTGAACCCTCTATCCGGCCTCTTCCAGTCACTGGTCTTGCATCTGCTGCTAACAGACTTCTTGAGGGAAACCCCGGCTCTCTGCATCTCCACAGCCCCTTCCCGCATGGGACCGCAGCCCCAGGAAGCAAGAGGACCAAGACGTGTGTTTTTAAGACTGATTTTACATCCCTTGTATGGAAAGCCAAAAGCACCAGGTGCAGAGACCAGTTGAGTTCTTCTGATGAAACAGACAAGCGACAGGGAGGCTGCACTTGGGACCACGGGGAAGGAGCCTGCAGCAGAGCCACCCGTGGGACTCGGGCAGCACAGCCCAGCAGCAACCTGGGGCTGGCGGGCTCTGCGCTGAGCACGGGTTGTGAGGGACCCCAGGGGTCCTGCCCTGGTCCACTCCAGGCTGGTTTGGGGCAGAGCTGAGCCGCAAGCACATACTCCCTGCTCGCCATCGCCAGGCGCCACTTCGACACCACAGAACAGCCTGGCTGCAGGTCTCGGGGGGACAAGATTTTGTTCAAAATAACCCAGTCAGGATGCATGAATGTGTGCACTGAAATGAACTCATTCTACCAAGGAAATGACACACATGCGTGTGACTGGCTGCAGGTGCTATGGGAGCAGGTGAGCTGGGGAAGGTTCCTTACAATCCCTGCCCCCACCTCAAAGCATACGCCACGTCGGGGACCTGGGATGGGTGGGAGGCTGGGTGGGGCTTCTCCCTTTATCTCCCCCTTTACTCCAGATACAGAAAAAAAAATAAGGTGGAAAGAAAGAAGAATATAGACTAAGGCTGTAAACAATAATCAAATCTCAAAATGTCTGTTTCACACATAAAAAATACATTTTTGTATTGTGTATTTTAGGTATCACAGATCAGGGAAAACAACAAAACAACAACAAAAACAAACAACC